CGTTAAGAAATGTTTTCTGCTAGAAAATATTTGTGGCAATGTCATAGTGTAATAAACTTATATTTACAGATTAGTAGTTTTTTTTTTTTTTAAAAAAATAAGTGTAAAATGTACAACGTTATTTTTTATAGCAATAATTTTTTAAAGTTATTAGTTAATAAAAAAAATTATTATTTAAATGGATTTTAAATAAATCGTAGTCTAATGTCTTTTTCAGAAGAAGATACTATTGATTTAGAAGACCTGGAATTTATTAAATTTTCACCTGAAGTACAAAATGCAATAGATCAGGTTAGATATGGGAAATTTAAAAAAAAAAAAAAAATTTTTAACTAATAAATTAATAACTGTACGTAAACATAAATTATTTTTATGATAAAATTTTACAATGGTTAAATATTTTTAGGTTCTTCCTAGTGATGATCCTCTTGATCAACCGGATTTTAACGCAGTAGATTATATTAATTCAATTTTTCCTACCGAACAGTCTTTATCAAATATTGACGATGTTATTAATAGTTTTGAAACGAAAATACATTCGATTAATGAAGAAATGAGAACTGTAATCAGGGGACAAACAAGTTTAAGCAAAGTAAGGAAAAATAAAAAAAAATTTATTTGTGTGCAATTAATATTTTAAATAGTTACAAATTTTTTATTAAACTCATGTAGGATGGGTGTGCGTCACTGGAGCATGCTAAAGTTGTTATACATCAGTTATTAGCACATGCAGGTAAAATTAAAAGTCAAGCAGAAGAAAGTGAGAATACAGTTCATGAAATAACGAGGGATATTAAACAATTAGATGCTGCAAAAAAAAATTTAACTCTGGCCATAACAACCCTTAATCATCTTCATATGTTGGTTTCAGGAGTTGAAACATTAAAGTAAATAATTTTTGTAAATTTTTTGTTTGTAAAAAAAATTTTTTTTTAAATGCTTAAATTGTTTCGATATTTTTTTAGAGCATTGACCAAAAATCGTCACTATGGCGAAATCATATTACCTTTATTAGGAGTTAGCGAAGTTATGGAACATTTTAATAATTACATGGATATTCCTCAAGTTAGTCAGTTAAGTAAAGAAGTACATGATATAAGAGTTACTCTTGCTCAACAAATAAATTCAGACTTTCACAGTGCATTTTCTGACAGTAACACAAAACATTCTGTTCCGATAGCGAAATTGACGGAAGCTAGCAAAGTTGTATCAGTATTAGATCCGGAAGTGAAGTAAGTTTTACACATTTAAAAAATTATTGTCTTACAACACAATGCAAACAATAAAACTTAATTAATGATATACATTTAATTTCAGAAATGATTTGTTAAAATGGTTCATTAATTTACAATTGACTGAATATATTCATTTATTTCAAGAATCTGAAGATTGCGCTTGGTTAGATAAAATAGATAAGAGGTATGCATGGATTAAACATCATTTATTAAGTTTCGAAGAAAAATTTGGTAGAATGTTTCCTCCCGATTGGGAAGTATCGGAAAGGATCACAGTAGAATTTTGTAAAATAACAAGGTTTGTTTAAATAAAAAAAAAAAAATTTTATTTATCGATTCGTTAAATCAATAGGCACACAATGAGATTTTAAAATTTTTTTTTTTTTTTTTGATTGCAGAAACGATTTAAGTAAACTCATGAACAAACACATTGCAGAATTAGACGTCAAACTTTTGTTGTATGCAATTCAAAGAACGGACAATTTTGAAAACTTGTTAGCGCGTAGATTTTCTGGAGTAACGTTACAGGCGGAAAATGGGAAAGTTGTACGTTTTGTTTTTGCTTTTTGTTTAATCCTGATATCTGTAATTTTTTACAAAAAAGGTTCAACTCTCATTACAGGCAAAAACGACGAATGTTTATGATAATAATACGGAAAAGTCAAGCGAATCCGACGATGCATCATCGGTTAAGACACCAGTTGCAAATCATCCTTTTCACGGGATAATCGGACAATGTTTTGAATCTCATTTAAATATTTACGTTCAAAGTTTAGATAGGTACTATAGAATTTTCTCACGTCATAAAAAATTTTCCAAATTAAAAAGTAATTTTTTTTTTGTAACAGAAATCTTTCAGATTTAATGGAAAGATTTGTTGCCGATACGGGAAAACATTTTTCGACGAAGGAATTGAGCGACACGGAAGCCACCGTCCTTCCTTCTTGTGCTGATCTTTTCGTATTTTATAAAAAATGTTTAGTTCAATGTTCTCAATTATCCACTTCGGTAACAATGTTACAATTATCATATACATTCCAAAAATATTTAAGAGAATACGCTTTAAAAATACTTCAAAATAATTTACCCAAGTATGGGAGAAAATGAAATTTGTTTATTTTATTTTTGTCCGTTTGTTTTCCGTTTTTAACTTATAAATATTTATTTATTTGTAATAATTAGAAATTCTACTTTCGGCGGGAGTTTAGTCGGTGGAAAATCTTCTTTGGTACGAAGCGACATTGCTGCGGGATTCATTCAAAGCATATTAAAAGAAGGAGAAGTGAGTCGATTGGAAAAAGATCAACAGAGAAGAATATGCGTCATTCTTACAACTGCCGAATATTGTTTGGAAACCGTGCAGCAGTTGGAAGATAAACTAAAGGAGAAAATCGACAAAGAGCTTGCGATTAAAATCAACATGTCGCACGAACTCGATATTTTTCACGGAGTCATATCAAGTTGCATTCAGCTTCTTGTACAAGATTTGGAATCGGCTTGCGATACCTCCTTGGTCGCCATGACTAAAGTAATGATGCAAATTTTAAAAAAAATTTCTTTTGTATTTAAAATTGTCTAATTTTTTTCTCTCTCTCTCTCTCTCTCTCTCTCTCTTTTAGATGAATTGGCAAGGCATTGAAAGTGTCGGCGATCAAAGTTCTTACGTTTCAGCCATAAGTATGAATTTAAAACTCACCGTTCCATTTATAAGAGATCAACTTGCTTCTTCTAGAAAATATTTCACTCAGTTCTGTGTCAAATTTGCCAGGTCGGTATAAAGGAATTAATCGATGACAATTTTTTTAGAAAAAAATCACTATAATAATAAAGTCGGTTATTTTTTCCAAAGCGGATAATTATTTATCGTACTTGACGAGATAATAATTTATTTAAAAAAAAAATAATAATGATAATGATAATTTTATTCGGTAAACTTTACTAATTGGTTGATTTAATTGTAACGTAATATTTTCAATTATTATTATTATTATTATTCAATTAAATGTACGTCTTAATTAATTTAAATTATTATTATTATTATTTTTCAGCGTTTTCATTCCAAAATTTATTTCTTCTCTGTACAAATGTCGTGCAATAAGTACGGTAGGAGCTGAACAATTGTTACTCGACACTCACTCTCTTAAAACTGTTTTGCTCGACATGCCAAATATCGGGTCACAGGTTCAACGAAAAGCTCCTCCGAGGTACGGAATCGCGAGAAAAGAAAAAAGAAGAATTGAAAAAAAAAAATTTTTTTTTTTTTTTTTTTAACTCTGTACGATTTTTTTTTTGCAGTTACACAAAAAATGTGATTAAAAGCATGAGAAAAGCGGAAATGATTCTCAAAGTCGTCATGTCGCCAATAAAACCGGAAGGAGCTTTCGTTGATCAAGTCGCGAGGTTGTTACCCGAATCTGATCAAGCGGAATTTCAAAAGCTTTTGGAAATGAAGGTAAATTTTCCCCCTCTCTCTCTCTCTCTGTCGGAATCTTTTTTTCTATAATTTTGGCAAATGTGTGTGTTTTTGTAGGGAGTCAAAAGAAACGAACAGTATGGTTTACTAGAATTGAGAAAAGAAAAGTTACCCGGTATCGTTGGAAATAATTTTTCTAATTCGGATCACGAAGCGAGTCGCATACAAAAATTGGAAAAATTGATTAATCGAAAATAGTTTTTTTTTTTTTTTTTTTTTCTAATTACGAAATTTGTAATTACCATAAAAAAAATTATTAAATCTCCGAACGGGAATCGAATCAATCACGCCGCCATCTTTAAAAAAACAGAAAAAATAAAATAATTATTAATAAAAATGTACGGTTAATATTATTAATTCATCCATAAATTTATAATTAAATCATAATTATTATTATTATTTCATCATACGTTGCGCGTACAAAAATTATATAAGTCGTTACGAGATATTGTTTAGTTATTTATTTATTTAAAAAATAAAAAATAAATAAAATATTTCGTTCGTGTTAACAACGGGAGTAACGAATTTCAAAAAAAGAAAAAAACAATTTTTTTTTTTTTATAAAATTTATTTTATTTATATTATTTGATTATTTATTATTATTATTATATATTTTTCTCCCCCTCCCCCCCCCCCTTGAGTGATGATGAATTTGTAACGGAAATTTTTCTCGCTGTTGTAATTAATTAATTAATAAAAAAAATCACGAAATATTTATTTAATTAATATTTTGTAAAATAAAAAACGTTTTATTATTATTATTATTATTATTTTCCTAACGAATATTTTTTTCTCTTCTTATTTGACTCCTCATTTTTTTTTTTTTTTGTTTGTTTGTTTGTTGTTGTTGTTGTTGTTTATGTTCGTGTCCGTTTTGTTTGTTATGCGTATACTAAATAACGTCAATTTAGTAAATATTAACATTTTCTTATTTTTCACCGTGTAAACAGGTAGGTTTTGGGAGGGGGGGGGTTCGGATCGTTTGTTTTATTTAATTAAAAATTTAATTCATTAATCCCCCCGTTTTTTTCTCGTTTTTGTTTTTGTTGTCGTTGTCCCCTCAATAGTTTTTTTTTTATTAATTTAATTCGCAAATTAAAAAAAACCGTGAGTGACGTAAAACTTTAAACAATTTCTTCCCCCCCCTCCCCCCCGTTTTTACTCATTAAAAAAAAATGATTCTCACATATTTAATTACAACTTATTATTTTCCGACATCTGTTTTTTTTTTTTTTTTTTTTAATTTATTTATTTAATAACATGAACATAAAAAAACATAAATAATAAATTTAGATAAAAAAAACAATTCCGATTAATATTTAATCAAATAATAAAAAAAAATTTAATGGCGCGAAAAAATAATTTTTTTATTAATTAGTTATTAATAATAATAATAATAATAAAAAATAAAACGTCGAGCCGTCTGTGCAATAATTTATTTATTTATTTATCCTTAATCGGTGTAATAATAATAATAATAATAAAAACAAATCGCAGCCATTTTTTTTTTTTTCAAATTTTAATTTATTACGACATGTTTAGAAAAAAAAAAAAAAATTTTTTTTTTTTAAACACGCACGTACACGCATTCACACACATACACACATACGTTCAAGCGAGATATATTTTAATTATTATTATTATATAATTATTATAATAATTATTAAATAATAATAATAAGGACGATGAAATTTTTAATATACATATCGTGTCAGTAATGGAATACGTTGGGTGAGAGCGAAAGAGAGAGAGATAGATAGATAGATAGACTCCATTTGTTGCAAGTAGTGTTGCACGTGACGTGCGCAAACAATTAAACTCTGTGGGTGTATAAAATTTTTTTTTTTTTTTTTTTTTTCGATGTAAACAAACGTAGGATATGATATTAAATAATTATTTATTCAGTTATTATTTATCCAATGTTATATATATATACATACATGTAGTTGTTTAATTTATATCGGTTTTATTTTGGGTTAATTAATAAGGAGTAAGTGAAATTGTAATTTTTTTCCCATTTTTAATTACTTACTATTTTTTTTTTTTTTTTTAATGAAATTTATTTGATGCAGTGAAAGTTGTACGTTTTTTTTTTCTTTTTCTTCATTTTTTAGTAAAAAAAAAAAATATATATATCGATTATTTGGTTGGTTGCTTCCTTCCTTCCTTCCTTGCTACATGATTATAATTTCTCTACCTTTTTAATTTCAATTTTATATTAAACTATTGATTTTATATGATTGAAATTAAATAATTAATTGATTAGTATTATTATTTCCAGAAAAAAATTTTTTTCTTATTTTTGAGAAATTTTTTTTTTCTTGTCATTTCTTTCGTAGGGTACCATTGTTCAAAATGTTTGATTTATTAAAATTATTGTTAATTTAATTTCTCATCATTTTTAATGTTTAATTTTTTGGTTTTGTATAATAAGGTGAAATATTGAAATTTTTGCTCCTGGTTAAAAAGTTTCATAATTTGCATATATTTGTTTTATTACAAAAAAATTTTTTTTTTTTTTTTTTCGAGAAAAAAATTTCTTGTCGTTGTTAATAATATCCTTTGGGCAATTTTCGGTTGATTGTGTTGCTGCAATATTTTAAAAATTCCATCAAGTATCTCAATAATAATTAAACATGACAAAGAGTTTTTAAATTAATAATTTATTTTACCATTATTTATAAAAAAAAAAAATCAATCATTATTTAATATTGATATAATTTTTATTTCGTGCTAATGACATTTTAATATCAATTTTTTTTTTAAAAACAATTTTACGAATAAGCAATTTTCCAATTATTATTTTTTTTTTTATAAAATTTGTTTTATTGTTTTACTTTTCATTTTTATTATTATTATTTTCTTTATATTTGTCATGAGAAAAATTGCATTTTTTATTGCAATAACCTTAGTTGTTATTATATTTTGTATGAGTCATTATTCAAATTAAAAAATTTTTTATTTTTATTTTTTTCATAGAATATGATGAATGTATTGTTGGATCTTACATAAAGAAAAATATTAAAGTAAATAATATTTGTCAACTAAGCCAAAGAAAAAGAGCAATGTTACCCAGAAAATAATGCCAACTATGTTATCAGTTTTGGAGGAAGAGACTGAAAACTTAGAAAATTTTCCTCCATATGTAGATGCGAATAGTATTGAACCATTACCTGATAGCCCTTCTAAAAAGGGTTCGATAAAAACATTCGAAGAAATTCAATTACTACTTCAAAATGGGAAAAAAAGGGAAGTCAAACAAATAATAAGAGAAAATGCTTGGCCAATAGAAGGAGGAATAAGGAGAAAATTATGGCCAGCACTTTGCCTTCAACACACACAGAAAAATACCAACGAAGAAGGTTATTATTGGGAAATGGTGAAACAACTTTTCGGTACAACAGGTAAGATAATTTTTTCTTTTTCTTTTTTGTTTTCGATTTTAGTTTTAACATTAAAAAAACTACACAGAAACATAGAAAAATGCTTATCAGAAAGCTCTAAATATAAAAGAATCTAGAGATAGTAAAAAGATAAAAAAAAATTTCATTGTAATAATCAATAAAAAATTTTCCTCGGGTCTATCTATATAAAACCATTTTGAAATGTTTTAATAATTTTTTTTATTATTGATTAATTCGATATTCAAATTTTCTTTTCTTTTCTTTTCTTTTTCTTTTTCTTTTTCTTTTTTATTAAATAATACAGAATAGTAAGAATTTAATCAATAATATACAAAGTCTTTCATTATTGATTTTTTTTTTTTTGAAATTATTGATAGTAATAAACATAAAAATAAAAATTCTGTTTTGTGTTAACAACAACAACCATTTTAAAGTCAAAAATAAAAATAAAAAGCCTTTGAAGAAAATTTAAATGAAAATAAAATGGGGAGGAGTGAGGGAAGGGGAGGGGGCGTGGGCGTGGTGGGAATCCCCCCTTTGAAATTTCACAATATTTATAAATTTTATTATATATATATATATTGTGCAGATTCATTATTACAAATCCCATTTTTTTTTTTTTTTTTTTTTTTATCCATTACGTGTTCCATTTCATTGAAGGTGTTAAATCGGTTAATGTTTTTCGAAGGTTATTCGGATTAAAACCAAAAAAAGAGAGAGAGAGAGAAAGAAAAATAAAAAGGAAAACTAAAGAAAAGAAAATGTCTGACGTTTGTGTTTCGTAATAAAACGTAAAAGATTTTTTTTAAAGAATCATTATTACCCGTTTTTTATTCAGTTCGTGATAACAATAAAAACAGACGAAGAATAAATTTGTAAAGATTATTATTATTATTGTTGTTGTTGTTGTTGTTGTTGTTGTGTGTTGTTGTTTTTGTTTGTTTCGATCAATCAAATTCCAAATAAAAATTATCTGTTTTTACTAGTTCTTGCTTGTACTCGCTCACGCACGCACACACCCACCCAAAAAGTTTTAAATGATTAATATGTATCGATTTTGGGGAGTTTAATGCTCCCTTCCCCCCACCCACCCACCATCGCTGTGTACATTTTTCAATATTTGTACAACCTTATTTAATCCACCAGAAGAAATATTTATTTTATTATTAAAATAATATTATTATTATTATTAGTACTACTACTACTACTACTACTACTACTCCTCTTTAGTGTTATCTGAATTTTTACATAGAACTGCAATTATTATTATTATTTATTCGAATAAGCTTTTTGTCAATTGACGTCAACACGAGAGTGAGAAGGAAAAATGAAAATGAAAACAACAAAAAACGTTTTTTTTTTTTTTTAGTTTTCTTTTTGTAATTATCATAATTTGATGTGGTTTTGCCATAGTTTAAAGTAAATTATTATTTTTTTTTTTTTTCACGTTCTATTTAAATTCAAGTTTTTGTGTATATTTTGTTTAATTATTTTTTTGTTGCGTTTAATTAAGAAAGCAATGAACTGCAGCAAAAAAAAATCTTATAATATGTTGTTGGGGTTTGGTTTGCCAAAAGTTTACAAAAGTTTGTTAATATTTATATATATATATATATTTTTTTTTTTTTCCCGTTTGTAGATTTACCAGATAAGCCGTTGACACTGCCGACATTTGTTGAAAAAGACCAATGTTTAACTTATCACCTGACTAAAAGAGGGAGACACATAGCCGACAGGGTTGTTTGTATTCTAGGCTATGCATGTCCGGATATAACATACAGTCCGGCCATTTATCCCATCACTGCGCTTTTATTACATTTTTTACCAGGTAAGAAAAAGTTTCCCTTATTTAAAATACTAATAATAATAATAATAATTGGAAAATTTGTTTTTACCCCCCCCACCCCCCTTCCCTTGCCAAATTTTAGTTTAGAAGTCGGGGGGGAAAAAAAAAAATTAAAATTTTCTTTTAATATTTTTTCTGACGCGATTCGAAACGGACACTTTAAAATTATTATTATTATTATTGTTTCATAAAAATTTATTATTATTATTATTATTTTTATTTTGTTTAAAAATTTGATTTTCGGCCAAAGTTGTAAAATATTTTCGGTTGTTTTCCAAATATTGATTGATTGATTGATTTATTGATTGTGAACCCCGCATTCTAAACACGTTATTGTTTGCGATTACTTATGGATTCGAAACTAAAATGCGTCCATTTTTAAAATTAAAATTAAGGGGGCTTAAAATTAATTATTATTATTATTATTATTATTATTATTATTATTATTATTATTAACAATTATTCGATATATTTGCAGAAGAAGACTGTTATAATTGCATAGCAAGTTTAGTAGCATCAAAAGAAAAAACATTCGTAACTCAAACCAAATTATTATACGAAGTAACATGGCGGACGGTTATGCAAATTGCCAAAAAACACGTGGTGAGTACGTGGAAAAAAAAAAATTGTTGTTGTTGTCGTTGTCGTTAATTAATTATTTTAAAACAACATAATAATAATTTGTTCGAAACGTTTGTAACCGCGACTAGTTAAACGCGTCGCAGTGTCGTAATTTAAATATTATTAAAAAATTTAATTACTCCGATAAGGAAAACATTAAAAAAAAATAAATAAATAAAAAAGTTATTTATTTATTGTTATTTCACGTGGATTTATCGTTTAAATTTGTTTTTATTTTCTAGAAAGGTTCGGCGGTGCATTTGGCGAGACATTGCACGAGTGCAAGAGCCGAAAGGATTTACATGGATTGGTTTTGGTGGATATTTGAAAATTTACCATTCGCTCATTTGGTCAGAATCCTTGATTGTTTTTTACACGAGGGTATAAAAGTTTTGTACAGGATCGCTTTGGCGATACTTTTACTCTTTTACAAGTATTCATCGCCGGCAAATTCAAAATGGATGACGGAAATTCACAAGAGCGGAATGGAAGTGACGCTGTACAAATTTTGCAAAGAAATTCCGGTTGGTTGAATTTTTTGAATTTTTTTTTTTGGGTTTATAAAAAAGAAGGAAACAAGTTTTTTTTTTTTAAATCATTTGAAATTTATCAGGTTTCGCCGTCGAAAGTTTTGAGAACGGCATTTTCCATAAGAGCATTGAGTTCCGTTTACATCTCGAAAGTTTTCCTCCGAACGGAAATGCTTTTGAAATCTCGTAACGTATTAACGGGTTCTCGTCAATTATCCAGATCGAGATCATCCGATAATCTTCCGACGAGTCAATCTCAGGTTAACATACAAATGATGAGTCACACATTAACGATAAGAGAGGTAAATTTCGAATACAAAACCTTTTCTTAAAACCTTTTTTTACAACCTTTTTTCACGAAATTTCAAATGAAATAATTTTTATAAAAAACTTGTGTGGAAAATGAAATCATTTTTTTTTACGGGTTATGATAACAACCGATTTCGTTCTGATAAGATTGGTTTTTTTTTTTTTTTTTTTTGAAACTGACAAAAAGATTTTTATCGGTTTTTTTTTTAAAGAAAAAAAACAAATCAATAATCGATCGAATGATAATTTATCCCAAATTTTTTAAAAATAATAATTGTCGCGAAAAGAAAGTAAAATCGGGGGAAAAACCCCCCCTCCCTCCTCTCCCCGTCGGATACGTTTTTATTTCGAATTAAAAATTTCGCTTTTTTTTTTTTTTTTTAATTACCACGTGTGGCCGGAAATGATTAAACAAATTTGTAGGGGTTTTTTTTTTTAATCTTCTTCCGTTTCCGGTATTTCACGGTAGTTTCCGGTATCGAAAAAGTAATATATAGTTTTTTTTTTTTTTGGTTGAGGTAACATAGATGGTGGTGGTGGTGGTGGTGATGGTGTTTGTATTTTCTCTCTCTCTCTCTCTCTTTCTTAGCTTGCCTTTTCTTTTTCTTTTTGTTTTTTTTTATTTTATTTTTATTTTTATATATTTTACGTTTCCTTTAAAAAAAAAAAAAAAAAGCTCCGTTGAATTGAAAAAAAAGCTAAAATTAATTACAAATTTGGAAAAAAAAACTTTGGAATGTTTATCAGGATATTAAAGAAACGGGACTTCCCTGGACGAGGTCTTTCGGACATCGACATTCACTCTTCCAGAATGGGCCTTCGGAGATGGACGTAGGTAGATTACCGGAACCGTAAAATTGGGTTTTTCTTTTTTTTTTTTTTAAAATTTTATTTTTCATTTCGTTTATCTTTCATTTCGTTGACATCTCTAATCTTCGTTGCATATAAACATCATAAATGTGTTCGACATTGTTTAAAACAACAACAATTTTTTGGCTTTTTTGTTTGTTTGTTTGTTTTGTCAATCGTTAGCCTCGGTATACTATTTTTAACGTTTTCCTTCTCGTGAAGGAAGGGGAAAAAAAAAAAAAAACTTGATTTGGCTTAACTAACAATTATTAATCCTACGCTTGGAATGCTGCCTCCATTAAGGGTTCTCGTTCTCCTGGACCACACGTTGCTTCTATGGGCATATACCCAATACAGGGTGTAAATTCTCAAATTGTCGATCACGACGATGTAAGTAATCTCGTGAATTGCGTGCCTGAAAAAAAGCTTTCCGACGAATCATTTTCATTTTTTTTTTTTAATTTTTAATTTACGTTGGCGCAATTATTATTATTATTATTTTGTTTTTTTTTTTTTTTTTATATATATATTTTCGAAAAAGTGAAACAAACAAACGGATAATTTCGAAAAGAAAAATTTTAATTTTTTTTTTTTTTTTTTTCCCATTTTCAATAATTGTTAAATCGTGTTTTTATTATGGGTCAGGGTTCAAATCATTTTCAACCGGAAAATTTTTTCGTATTTAGTTTTCCTTTTTTCCCCTCCCCTCCCCCCCGTTCGTTTCGACGTTAAAAATATTTTTAAAAAATAATAATAATAAATTTGACCTCTTTGGAATTTTTTTTTTTTTTTTTTTGTTTCGATCAAATATTATGCTCGTATCGAAATATTGATTTTAACGTCGTTCTTATCGACGATGGAAAAATTTTCATCGAAGAAGAAATCGAGAGATGATGATGATGATGATGATGATGATGATGATGATGATGATGATGATGATGGCGACTTACTCATACGTTTGTTTTTTTTGAAGAAAATAAAGTCGGAAATGACGTCAGGAGTTTTATTAAATAGTCTATTCTTCGTTTAATTATATTTTCTCTCTCTCTCTCTCTCTCCCCCCAATCGAAGGTTTCTCAACCTTTCGATTCGATATCGAATGGGAGTCGGTTAAAATCAAAAAAAGGATTCATCGGAAGAAAATTCTTTAAAGGAAAACGGTTGAAAATGATTTCGCGCGCGAAATGCAACAAAACGCGGTTTAAACAAACAACGAATCTCCATGTTTGTTGATACGTTCGTCGATGTTGTTTGTCAATGTGTCGTTTTCGTTTGAATTTAATAAAAAATAATTATTTTGTTAACGTTTGCTTGCATGGTAGTAGTAGTAGTAGTAGTAGTAGTAGTGCTAGTCGTTGACGACGGATGTAATTCATTCGCGAAGGGAAAAAAAAATAAACGGGAAAATAATTTTTTTTTTTTTTTTTTTTTTGTTTTACAGTTGCTCATATTGTGGTCATGGCTTCCGGTTCGGATCACAATGTATCAGCCAGTATTGCTCTACACGACGGAAGAACACGGATGTTCGTTGACAACATTTTACCATAGAGTAGAACAACACGAGCCGACATTGCTCATGATCAAAACGGCGGCGAACGAAGTGAGTAATTTTATTATTATTATTATTATTAATATTTTGTAAATCGTAACGGATTAAAATTATTATTATTATTATTTTCAGGTTTTCGGAGCTTATTGTTCGACTCGTTGGTGCGAAAGAAATTTAAAAGACGACAAGGGAAATCGTCAAGCGTATTTCGGAACGGGTGAAACTTTTCTGTTCAGTTTATATCCCGAACGTGCTAAATATCCGTGGGTGGGGATACAACACGGTGTGGGAGATGCCGGATTACATCATTCGGCTCAACTTTTCATGGCGGCGGATTCGAAAATGATAACCATCGGTGGTGGGTAAGTGTTAAGAATTTCTTTCTTTTACACTTTCGATGCGATCAAGAGAAATTTTATCCGGGAAGGGCGGGGGGGCGGGGGCGGGGAATGAAAAACAAACAAAAAAAAAAAAAAAAAAAAATTGTTTTTTGGTTTTGTTTTAGCGGTGCTCAAGCGATTTGGATGGACGAAAACGTTCGGTACGGGAAAACGGACAGGTGTCTAACGTTCAATAACCCACCTCTTTGCGAGGGACGAGATTTCGAAATAAGAGTTTTAGAAGTTTATGGATTTTCATGCGCGTAACGAACAACACCACAGTCAATCAATCAATCAATCAATCACAGTAAATTAGTTCATTAATTTTTTTTTCTCGACTCGTATTCACACGCACACTCTCGCACCCCCCCCCCGACTTTCCCCACCCCTTTTTTTTTTTTTTTTTACTTCGAATAGGAATGGTTAGAACCCTTCGTAACGGTTATCGTTTACGTCATCATCACTTTAAAAAAACGTCATCGACGTTTAACGTTTAACGTTTTTTTTTTTCTTTTTGTTTTGTTATTTAACGGAAAATTTAAATGACGTTAGCATTCCCATCCCCTCCCCTTCCCTTCCCTCCCTCCCTCCCTCCCTTATTAATATTATTATTATTGTTTAGTTTAACAAAATAAGTTGTTAACTTTATCGACTGATTTATTATTATTATTATTATTATTATTATTATTATTATTATTATTATTATTTTTCGTTATGTTAATTTAAAAACGAAACGAACGTGGCGGCAATAAGAGTTGTTATTATTATTATTATTATTATTACGACTCGTTATAATTACATAACATATTATTATTATTAAATACAAAGCAGCGAATTTCCTAACGATAAAAAAAATTACGAAAATAACAATAATAATAATAATAATAATAATAATAAAATAAGAGAGAGAAATTTATTATTATTATTATTATTATTATTATTATTTTGTTATCGTGTGCTAGTAACGTGAATGATCGGCGAACTTTTTTTTTTTTTTTAATGATCTCAGATCTCGTTTAAAAAAATACAAAAAAAATAAAAAGTTAAAAAAAAAAAGTGTTTGATCGATCGTTTATTTACTGACCGTTTGTTTGTTTGTTTGTTTGTTTGTTTTTGCGTCCTCCACGCGATGATCGTACGCGATTGTTTAGCTCCAATAGTTACGTGCGCGTGAATTCGTGCGTATTTATCGTGACGTAATAGTAATAATAATAATAATAATAATAATAATCGTGTAAATCGATCGTGTGGTATCGTTTTTCCTATTTAAAAAAAAAAAAAAACGTTCACGTTCGCGAACGTTTAATTGATTAAAATTAATTTAATTTAATAAAATGGTTGCAGTAAATAATTAAATGTAAAAAAAAAAAAATTTAGTCTAGTCAAGTCAGATTTTTGTTCGTTCGTTCGTTCGTTTGTTTGTTTGTTTGTTGATGGACGAGGTAATGAATTTAATTTGCTAATCGTTTTTTCTTCTTTCAATTTTTTTAATTAATTAATTAATTATTAATAATGATAGCGTTAATAATAATAATAATAATGATGATGATGATTAAAAGAGAGAAAAATAATATTGAGAATATTTTTTTTGTAAAAAAAAAATTCCAATTATTTAAAATAAAATGTAGCGTTTAAATGTTTTTTATAAAAAATGCATTTCTGTTCAATACATATATATATATATATATTTATACATATATACATAATAATAATAATAATAATAATATTATATATATATTTATTTAAAATAATTTGTTTACAGTTTTTTTTTTTTTTTTATTGTATATAGTTCGTTTAGTACTTATTATTATTATACGTGTTTGTTTGTAATAAAAATTATAAAATGATGGAATGTATGTTTATAATAAAAAAAAAAGTAATAATAATAATAATAATAATGAAAATGATTTTTGATTCTTTCGTTTCCCTTATTAATTTATTTTTATTTAAATAAATTTGGCGCGATGTGAAATGACGTCATAAGTTTTAAGTAAGATGATTTAATATGGATTTTTGTGGGATAACAATTTCCGGTTTAAAAAATTTGAGGGAGGAGGGGGGAAGTAGATACGTACACAAATACGACTCGAGGGTTATTTAAAAAAAAAAAAACAAATTTTATTTATTTATTAATTTATTTTTTAATAAAAATATATTTATATATATATAATTTATTTATTTCAATTTTATAATATACACAATTATTAAATTATTTAAACCCAATTTTTATTTATATATTATTTGTATTTATTATTAAAAAAAATATATATACGTTCGCGCGGCGCGTTTTATAAACATATTACTATTATTATTATTATTATTAATAAATAAATAATAAAAAATTTTTATTACGAAATTAATTAATTTGATAAGGAAAAAAATAATCATTTTTTTACGTGTGTTACGTACGTATATATATATATATATATATATATATATATATATATATATATATAAATAATGATAAGCGATAAATAAATAAATAAATTTATGTATATATGTATACGCATGCGCACACACACGTGTATATGAGCGAGTTAACGATAAAAAATTTTATTTAAAAAATTAAATAATTAATTATTTACATACATATATATATATATATTTTTTTGTTCCCATTGTTTTTCATTTTTTTTTTCATCTTTCACACATTTATTAAATTGTTTAAAAACAAACAAACAAACAAACAAAACAATAAAAATTATGTATAATTAACTCATATTTAAATAATTTTGAATTTTAAAAAAAAAAACATGTGCAACGCAAACAAACGCGTCGAATGATTGCGTGAGTGCGTATACGTATATATATATAAAATTTAAATGAGAAAAAAAAAATAATAATAATAATAATCAGTGCGTTCTTTAATTAAGAACTTTATATATATATAAAACATACAAACTTAATAAATAAGTACAAATTAATTTAAAACAATCATCATTATCATTTTTATTTTTATTTATATATATATATATATATATATATATATATATATATATATATATATATATATATATATATATATATATATATATATATATATATATATATTTAAATTCAACGACTGAGTAAGTAATATTTCAGTAGAAAAAAAAAAAAAATTGTGTGGTCATTCTTTAAAAGTACAATCATCGAAGGCAAAGAGTTTGATTGATTGATTGATTGATTGATTCATTCATTCATTCATTCATTCATTGATTTATTGAAAAAATGTTTGTGACTTGATGATATTTCAACTTAACGGTATGCTAACGTCTTTTTTCCTTTCCAAATATCTCTTCAACGGATTTATAACAAACAACATAATGCCACTCACGGCTATCGTTATGCCGGCGACTATGAAACCTGGATCGAATGTTTGAAATGCATCGTAAAGCCAACCTGAAAAGAAGAAAAAATCAATGGATCGATCGATCGATGAGTCGCGATGATGACGCGTTTTATATTTAATTAATAATCACCGGCTATGGGTGGTCCTATCAGGGATGCTATCCCTTGAAATAATAATAAAAGACCGAAAGCGTTTGTCAAATGATCCAAACCCAACAAATCGACTAAAATAACGGAAGTGAGACCGACGTAAGCTCCGATTGTAAATCCGTAAACGGAACCATAAACGGCAAACGAATAAAAATCGTAACACAAGGCACTGAGTCCGGTCGCTGGAAGTAAAACATTATTTCCGTAGAATGTTGAAATTCATCCTCGGGTAAAAGGGGGGCGGGGCGGAAGGGGGGGTGTATTTTTGCATATCTCACCTATACCGCAAATAGCTAAACATATATTGTAAACCATTAAACGATTTATCCACGTTTTATCTGATATATACCCTAAAACTACCCTGCCGATTGTGTTAGCTATACCTATGACAGCTAATAAATAACTCGCGTTTTCTTTGGATATTCCTCTTTCTTGCGCTTGAGCCTGAAATCACAACAACAATTATTATTATCATTATTATCATTTCGCATTGTACGTGGCAGAGTTTTCGAAATTCCATTTATTTTTACCACAATGTAAACGTATGGTATGTTAAATCCTATGCTAGTGAAAAAATTAGATACGGTGAAAAGTATGAAAATGGGACTTTTCAATAGTGAAAAATCCAACATTCTCGCCAACGTTTTTGGAAATTTTTTCGAACATAATAAATTACAACAATTATTATTATTATTATTATCATCGTGTTTTCCTTCACGTTTCGATTGAACGTGAGAAATAAATTGTTTTTCTTCCGGTTTATCATAATGCGGAATCCTTGTGTTCGAACGGCTCATTTGCCTGTAACAATAAATAACGTTATTATTATTATTATTATCATCATGAAAAAAATGGAAGATCGTAGTGATAAGGTTATCATTAAATCTTCCTCCTCCTTCCTTTCTTCCTCCTGTCTTTTTCTTTATAATACTTACAATTGATGTAAACTGTGGACGGATCCGCTGTAAAAGACATCTTTACGATCCATGACACCCGAATGACTACTACCATACATTTGTTTCGAATCGGAGCTTTGAGATGTCGTGGCCGTGTTCACCAATGCCGGATGACTTCTTGCCAAATTATTCGATTCGCTCATGGTTCTTTCATCGTTGTTTTTCGTCATGGGTTTCAGGGAATTTTGTTTGGAAAGTGAAAAATTACCCATGCTCACGGGTCTTTCCGCATGATTATTACTACTACTTCCGTTACGTTTTTCAACATCCGACACACCGTCCACATCGTGAGCGCTACCATCTTTATTTAACAAACGTTGATTCGTTTCGTTGACGTGTGATGATGGTTTTTTAACTTTACGGTTTTGATATTGTTCGACGGGTCGAAACAAAGCTCCGAACGTCGTGCATTGTAAAACTAAACTCGATATCAATAGGAGAGCTCCCCGCCAACCGTATTCGTCGACGAAAAATTCCGTGAGGGGTGCAAATATAAAAGTTCCTAAACCTGAACCGCAAACTGCGATTCCGGTTGCGAGTGATCTATATTTTTCAAAATAACACGTTACGCTCACAATGGCGGGTAGGTAAACTAAACCGAATCCCAAACCTGTAAGGAGACGACATTCGAAAAATAAATTCATTCGATTATCATACGTAGGAACAAACAAACAAACAAACGACAAACCTGCTCCGATTCCTATTGTAAAATAAAGAGTTGTAACGTTTGTCGCAAATATGCTAACGGCCAAACAAATAAAACCTAAAATGGCTCCCGCAATTGTAACGGCTCTACATCCATATTTATTTACAAAGGAACTTGAAATTGGACCTGAAAACAAAATTTATTATCATTATTAATATATTTAATTAATTAATTAATTAATAACGAGCATTTTATCAAATAAAAAAAAAAAAATTAAGGCAAAAGTTCAGTTTTTTTTTTTTCTTATATTTGAAGAGAAAATTGTTTTCATTTTCACATTTGAGTGAGTACAGTAGGAACCGGAAAAAAAAAAAAGAAAATTTTCCAAAGCATTGACTCGTGAATTGCTCGATAAAAAAATTTATTTTTTTTTGCTGCTGCCACGTCTTCTTACAAAAAAAAAATTATTATGTATTATAGGTTTGAACGCGGTCGTTCAGAAGATTTCGATAACAACCTTCGAACCTTTTTTTATAAAACGTGTTTAACGAATCGGAATATATTGAAAACTCTATTCGATATTGATGACGTTTATGACTTTATTTTATTTTTTTTTAAATTTTTTTTCCTATTTACCCGTCATAATTTTTACGGGGGGGAGGGAGGGAAGGAGGGAAATTAAAAAATTAATTACGAAACATATATTATTATTATTAATAACGAGAATTTTTTTTTTCTTTTTAACTTGAACCCTTTTCCGAGTAAAATCATTCGGATTTCAGCCATTTTTTTTCTTTTTCTTTCTTTGTAAAACTACAAAAAAAGTTTTAAATGAAATTTTTCAAATTTTGACGTGGCATCAACTGTGTTGTTTTAAACTTGTTATCGTTTTTCCAACAACTTTTTTTTTTTTTTAAAACGTGCTTTATTATTACTTCAATTCACATTTTACAACATTAAAAAAAATATTTTTGCTTGTTTTTCAAAAAAATTTAAAATGAAATCATTGACGACGATAATAATAATAATAATTACTATCCTTTTCATTACCCCCTCAAATTGTAAAATTTCTTTTTTTTTTTTTAAGGGAGTCAGCAGCAGCATATTTATTTGTTTATAATCAAATTGAAAAAAAAAATAAATAAATAAACGTTGTTTGAATCGGAAAATATTATTATTATTATTATACTCTCGAATAATTTATTTATTAAAAATTAATTAATTAACTTATGACGTCACGGCAATTAAAAAAAAAAAAAAATTCTCTCTGTAAATCTTTAAACCACGTGAATTCATTATTAAAAAATTTTCACGGAAAATAATAACTGAGGGGAAAAAAATGAAATTCAATACGTAAAATAATAATAATAATAATAATAATAATAATAATAATAATAATAATAATAATAATAATAGAGGAACCAGAGAAAAAAATAATTTTCTTTTTTTTTTAAACTCAAATATTATGTTTCCCCTTTTTTTTTAAAAAGAAAATTTTTTTTTTTTGCTTTTACCTGAGCATAATGTAACTCCAACCAAAATCGAGGCTATCCACGCTGTTGCTCCCTTTCCTTCTTGAAAATAATTTAAAAATTCTACGTATAAAACTCCAAATGAATAAGTAACTCCATCGGCTGAAATTATAAATAAATAATTAAATAAATAAATAAATTTTCCAGGTATCGTTTTATAAAAAGAAAAAGAAAATTTTCATTTAAAACCGTTATTCGATTTTATTACAATACCAAATGTTATTCATCTCCCCTTTTAAATTAAAAAAAAAAAAAAAAATCGTAAGATTACAAGATTATTATTATTATTATTACAACATGTAATATATAAAATAAAAAATTATTATTATTATTATTATTAAGTTTACAACCGGCGTCTGAACCGTCGTTATTAAAAAATTAATTATTATTATTAAATTTTTAACGGTTTTTTTTTTTTTTTGCATTCCGACGAAAAAAAATTTTATTACGCTTTCATATTACGCTATCGCAGGTAGTAGTAAGTAGATTATTTACTCTATGACATTTATAAAATTTTGCAAAAAAAAAACGAATTATAATCCTTTCCCCCTAAAAAAAAAAAAAAATATTACGAATGGTGGTAGTAATTTAAAGTAGAATCTATAAAAAAAAAGGGGGGGTCGACATCAAATGGATGACCAGTAATAATAATAATAATAATAATGTTTGTGTGCATATACGTCGACGTCATAAAAAAAAACAATATGAGGATTTTCATTTTGAAAAAAAAAAAAATGGCGTAAACATTTTTTTCTCTCTCTTTCTTTTTTAGTCTTATTTATTTAAAATGTAGGCTAAGGTAATCATATCGTCGTCGTCGTCGTATAGACAATAATTATCAGTTAAATGCTCCCCAAGTAATCGACCTGAGGCCCCTTACGAAAATCATGTCAGATGATTAAAATTACACGTATCGAAAATGAGGGGGGAAGGGAGGAGAGGGGA